CACCTCGGGTGTGAAACCCCCCTGTGGTTGGTGCCTGCTCCATCTCCAGCCTTCTCTGCTGGCTGTCTGCATTGTCCTCTACCCTTAAAGGGTAGTGGAGCTTGTGGTGTGGTTTCTTCACTTCTAGACCTCTTCCCAGCACTGGTCCTTCTGCCTCAAGGGCCTTCTCCATCCCTGTGCCTGGCTCACCCCTCATCCATTGGGCCCAACTCAGGCATCACTTTGTGGAGGAAGCAGTCACTAACAGAACCTCAGCCTCGGTTAGAGGCCTTTGTTACTGCAGTAGTGATAATGACCACCTCACTGTATTAGACGGTAACTGTCATTTTGTTCACATCATTATTGAGATGCAGTTCACATGCCATAAACTGCACCTCTTTAACTGTGTAGTCAGTGTGTCCAGTACAGGCAGAGTTGTGTAGCCATCTCTGTAATCCACGTTTAGAACGTTTTTATCTCCCCTAAAGAAGTCTGATCACTGCCGGTCACTCCCTGTCCTCCCTCCCTCAGCCCTTGGCAGCCACTAATTTACTCTGTGGATTTGCCTATTCTGGGTGTTTTATATAAATGGCATATTACACATGGTCTTTTGTGAGCGCCTTCTTTCACTTAGCTTAACGTTTTCAAGGTCTACCCATGTACAATGGTCCATGTAACATGGATCAGTGCTTCATTCCTTTTTACTGCTGAATAATATTCCATCATATGCTGTATCACATTTTATTAACCCATTCATCTGTAAATGAACATTTAAATTCTTTTCATTTTTTGACTGTTAGAAATAACATGAATATCTTGAGTACAAGTTTTTGTGTGGACACATGTTTTCATTTCTTTTGGATGTATACCTAGGAGTGGAAATGCTAGGTAATCTGTTAACTCCATATTTAAGAGTTTGAGAAACTACCAGACTGTTCTAAAACAGCTGCACCATTTTATATTCCCACCAGGTGTGTGAGGGATCCAATCTTTCTGTGTTCTCATTAACACTTTCTATCATCCATCTTTTTTATTTTAGCTCTTCTAATGGGTGTAAAGTGGTTTCTCATTGTAGTTTTGATTCGTGTTTCCCCAAAGGCTAATGGTGTTGAGCATCTTATATGTGTTTTATGTCTATTTTTATATATTTGGAAAGTGCGAGAAATGTGTTTTAATCCTTTGCCCACATATTAATTGGATTTTTTGTTTTTTATATTGAATTAAGAGTCTATACACACACACACACACACACACACACACACACACACACTTATGTATATGTGTATTCTAGGTACAAATTTCCTATATATTATTTAGAAATATTTTCTCTCATCTTCCCATATTTGCAGATTTATTTCTCCTGTGCCCCATTCTGTCCACTGTCTTTTCACTTTCTTGATGTCATCATTTGCAACACACAAGTTCTAAGTTTTCAGTGTAGTCGAGTTTCTCTCATTTTTCTTTTGTTTCTTATGCTTTTGATGTCATAGCTGAGAAACCACTGTCAAACCCAAGGTCAGCAATATTTATTCCTATGCGCTATAGAGTTTTATAGTTTTAGCTCCTCCACTTAGGCCTGTGATCCACTTTGAGTTAATTTTTTGTGTATGGTATAGTAATTATCTTTTATGCATATTTCCCCCACCAACCTGTGATCCCCCTGAGATTGAGGGCTGTTTCTTGGCCATCCTTGGATCTGAGTGTGCAGCCTAGGAGCTCTGCCAGTGCTCCCCAACAGTGTGTACTTGGGCCCCTAAAGAACTGAGTTTAGTGAATTGTGTCTTCATATTTCAGCAGCCTACGGAAAGGTCGTCAGGCCTGTATGTTCTGTGATGACTGTTGCTTTATTTACTGCTAGTATGTAGTGGAGGGTAGCACTCATTCTTTCATTTGACAGATGTTTATATTGGATGCTCCTTAAGTGCCAGGCTCTGTGCTGATCTTCCAGGACTTTTTATGTTGCACCCTCTTCATGAGGCCAGGTAGACATGGTGGTCACCTCCGTCACAGTAGTGACTCAGCAAATTCAAGATCAGCAAGGTTGCAGCAAGGAAAGTGTGAGTTGAACTGTCCCCAGGCTGGAGGAAATGTCACCAAACTGTTGAACCTCTTCTGCCTAAGGACAGTTGGCCTGTACATCTCAAGGCCACTGAAGTCCAACTTACTCCTGAGGCAGGACTTGAAATTCATGAAGGACCTGGGCTGATCAGAGGTATATTTGCGATGTTGAATCTACCTGCCAGGAACATCCAAAACCCTTGTGTCTAAAGCTGATGAGGGTGGAATGTTCTAAGTTGGTTCCCGTTTTGACTAGAAGCTGTTGTTGCCCAGGGAATCTGTGTAGCTTGGCTCCAGGGTACCCTGTCCTCTCTGAAGGAGGAGACCCTGAGTTTCTGTAGCTGAACCCTTGTCCTCAGTGACCTGGCCACATTCTAAGCCTAAGCAGGAAGGTCAGATTATAGGGAACCTGGTCAGAGGTGGGACGTGAAAGGCTCCCTAAAGCAAAAATGAAATTGAGATACCATTAAGCAGTCGTTGATACTAGTAGAATTTCAAACTAGAAATATTAAAGTTTAAACTTCTTCTTTGTTTCTTGTAAATATTGTTCCATTATGACTCGCACAGTAATTGTTAGAAATACTAGTCCAGAGTATATTTTATTTATAAATGACTGGCATTTACAGGCATGTGCACAACCTGTCTGCTAACATTGAAGAGATGACCCTTCGAAAAACTGGCATAAAACTTTTAGAGAATTCATAGGTTCAGAAGGAGTTTTAAAAGGCAGCCCTTACTTAAGGTAGCTGACAGAGAAGGCTGTGTCTCAGGTGATGGTGTATCTGGCCACCCAGAGCCTCAAGATACAGCGTTTCATTTCTCTTTGTCACATGGCCTGAAATTCTAACAAGTATCTTAGCCCCATGGCCTTTATCACCAAGCAGAGATAACACATTTGTATTTTAAAAAGCAAACAAGTATATTGGACTTGCCAAATAAAACATGCATGCCGACCCCGTGTAGATTAGAGAATCACTTAAGCTAAAGAGTGAAGTGTGACTACTTCCAGGCGAGTGGAAGTGGGTCTTTGTAGCACTGTGCTGCCATCAGACGCGCTCGGGGTGAGAGATTGAAAAGGAAGGAGAGGAGAGACGTGGAAGTGTGCCTGGGTGCCTGGCAGGCCCTCGACTGGGGGGTGCTTAAGTCAGGAGTCCACACTCGAGGGTGCTGAGGAAGGAAGGGCCCCCGGTGGGTGGAACCGAGTGGCAGAAGGAAGGTGGGAGGCTGTGAAGGTGGACAGGAATCTCCCCAAACCTGTCTCAGAGGGTGGCCTTCGCTTCCTCTTTGTCTCTCCAGCATCGCGTGCTCTGCCTCAGCACCCCGGTGGAGATTTATTTTTTCCTCAGTTTAATAGACTCATGGTCTGGGAATGTGCCCTCTTTAACACTGTAGACCTCATTTTGTTCAGCTTACAGATGGAACTGAGAGCTTCTTGGAAGAGAAATGTTGGCTGTTTAACTGATGTTTCTAATGTAACTTTCTATGGGGAAAGTGCATTCCAAGTTACAGCCAATGAACTGGTGAATGGACTTGGAAATTGTAGTATGTTAATAGGTGGGAGTTTCCCATGTTGGGAAAGGTGGTTTGGGGAGCAAAACACACCTGACTTTGGTGTACTAACCTGTGCTAGAGGAGCCTGTTGGCAGATGTGTAAATCAAGAAGAGTTAGAAATACGTTACTCCTTTCTCTGTGGTTGTGTTGAAAGGTGGTTATTTGTTATTTCAATTTAGTATTTTATTCCTTGGATGTATAGTCTTTGTCAGACACCTATAAACTTCTCTGTCCCATCAAAATGATTGCAGGTTCAGAATTACTGAGTTCTTAATATATATTTTATTATTTACTCAAATTTATTTAAAAATACACATCTAGGTTGATTTCTCTCCTGTATATCTTCCATAGTCTCCTGTTTTGTTAATAGAATTTTATTTAGTTATTCATCCAGGGTAGAGATTCTGTCACCTTCCACTTTACATCACATACCCACATGGGCACACGGTCTTCTTATCCATCCTAGTCTTCTCAAGTGTCCTTTATTTCTTTCATCATCCCTTTAGTTACCTCTGTCATCCTCATTGTCTCTCACCTGGGCTACTGCAGTGAGATTTTATCTTCTAATATAGAGTATTTGAATATTAAAGGTTATAATTCCTAATGGGCTGTGAAGTCAGTTTAATGATGCTGACTAAAATTGTTATTAATAATAGAATAGAAATATAGGAAAACATCTCAAAAAGTACGGGCAGTGTTTTTAGCTCTCTCTGTGTGTAGATGCATACAGGTGTGTATATAATGCTGGGGATCATGATTAAAATGTGTCTGCTGTTGTGGGTCACAGTAAGAAAGTATCAGAGAAAGTCAAGAAAATGAGAAAGCTGCTGTTCTGGTCTAACCTTCATGTACCCTCTTACCCCTGATCTACCTCTAGGTCTTTCAGTTATTTTTCTGAAATAAGAATCTCATCATCTCTCAACCCTGCTGAAGGCTTCCTGTTGTCTGCAGGAAGAGGTCCACAGTCCTCAGCGTTGCTCACAAGGCCCGTGATCATTTTACCCCAAGGTGCCCCAGGGGCCTGAGGTCCTAACATCCACCTTGTACTATTCCATACAGATACGCCTTTCTCTTCTAACCTTCTGCCTCTCCATGCCCACTACTTGGAATTCATTCTCCATGTGACAGCCCCATCTCTGAAGACAGAGATCAAATGGCACTAGTTTGGAGAGTCCCTTCCCGAGTACCAGAGCGTCTGCCACGTCTCTGCCCACCCTCGTTGGAGGGCTGAGGCTGTGTGTTGTGTGACTCGATGCCCCAGGCTCGGCTGGGGTAGCGCATGCAGCCAGCTCCTGAGTGTGTGGTCACTGGTTGAGCTAGTTCACCACCGCAACACTAGTCTCTCAGGCTCTTTAAAAAGAAAAAAAGGAAATCTTCCCATTTATTTAGATACTTTCTAAAATGTTTTTAGATCTCAAAGACAGAGCTAGATTGGTTCCTTGAAGATTTGAACAAGGAAATTAAAAAATGGGAACAGGAGAAAAAAGAAATCCAAGAAAGACTAAAGACACTGAAGAAGAAAATGAAAAAGGTGTTAAATGCCAGAGAAATGTAAGTAACACTTAAAAGACAATGATTTTCATTTATTTTTAATTTGGGTATATTTTGGCTTATTTTATCCTTTTTGGTATTCTGTTTCAGACTATCAAATAAAGTGAAAATTTTAGACACTTCTCATTTCATTCTGAAGAACATCTGTTGAGAATTATCTCACCTACAGCTTTTTCTAAACCTCTCATATTTATACATAAATAAAAGTAGGACTTCAAGAACTTACTTCCGGTCTGAACACCACCTCTTTTTCTGAACATTATCTTTGACCCCTTTTCTTTGCTGTAAAATGAGGGGAGTTGTCTAGATCTACAGTTCTTTCCAGCACCAAGATTCTGTGGTGATCATTTTATTTATTACTTCCATCCTGAATCTTTACATTAGTAAAATTTGGTCCTATAATACAAAGGATTCAGTAATATTAATACATTCAGGCAGTTGTCAGATGGGCTAGGTTTGTTTTAAGATTCTCTGCGATCTATTGCTAACCCCTGTTTCCCTAAATAATCGTATGACTCCTCAGCTTAATTGCTAACTACTGTTGAACAGAATACCTGAAGCTTGTTGGCTTAAATTAACTTAATTTTTACTTGATCCGGATCTTGCATTCTGGGCTGTCTTGGCTGGGCCACCCTTCTGCTGGTCTTTTCAGTGGTTCCCCCTGTGGCTGCGTTTAGCTGGGAGTTGGCTGAAACATTTTGGCCTCTTCCTCTCTCTGCAGTTTCAGGGCTTCTTCCTCTCCACGTGACTTCTTCCTGTGATTTTTATCTCCAGCACAGCAGCCATACCTCCTGTGTGGTGGCTAAGAGCTTCCACGAGTGCACAGGTGGAAGCTGCCAGGCCCTCTGAAGCTTTAGGCCTGGAACCTTCAGCATCACTTTCTGCCACATTTTGTTGTTTCGGGCAAGTTGCAGGCCTGGTCCAGATTGAAGGGCATGAGTAAGGGGAGGTGTGGTTCTCTGGGGGCTGCACTGCCCACACTCAGTGTTCAGGGCATTTATGTTTTGTCCACTTGCTGGGCCCTGTGATCAGATGAATTTCATCATGAGTATTGCTGACCTTACCTTTGGACAGTTTTCAGGTAGGCATGTGTAAAGCATGATGAAATGGAAGTACCGCATATGTCATGTAGTGTTGATTTTGCTCAAAGTAATTTCATTAGAAGAACATATTTATGGAATGTAAAAAGCTTTTTACCTCTTACTGTTTGAGCAAGTACAGTCTTAATTTTTACTCAAAAATTCTGGAGTATTTATGTTTTAATTTTTTCATATGTTGAGTTCAGACATACTATCAAACTAGACAAAGTAAATGAGACTGAGACTGTTGATAAGAAAAACTTTTTCTGTGCTGTCATAAAAATCATTTCTGCTGAGGAATAATCTTTTTATTGTCTTTTCACTTCATTAGTGCATTTCTTTGCCTTTTTCTGTTGCAGTTTAAAGATAGGCTATAGGCTTCTTTATGCTTTTTGCACTTTCCAAAAAAAGCTAAATTTTAATATTTAGATCTTAAAACTTTTTGGGTCTCTTAGAGAACCACTATTTCATTGATTTTTCTACACTTTAGATCACAGTTGATATTTATTAAGAAATGAATGGTCACGAGGAGCTCATGGTTAGTGCAGCGATACAAGTCAGAGATAATTGTTGAAGGAAGGCAGAAATTCCATGAAAAGCTACCCAGTATTGAAAACTTAGAGGAACTGTTTTACAAAAGAAGTGAAATGGCATTTAAATTGGTAGTTTGTGGAAACTGGTTTTCAGCCAGTAGAGATGACTAAAAAGTTGTGGAGAAGAGCATGAAGAGGCTCTTGGTACAGGGCATTACTTATTAAGACTCAAAAATTTACACACTTTGTTTTGAAGAATTCTCCTACTGTGTGCATGCATGTGTGTGTGTGTGTGTGTGTGTAATTGGACTTTAGGTTCTGTCTTAAAAAATAGAAGGCTGTTTTCATTTTGAGTGAGAACCTGTATTACACTGATGATGACCCAACACCTTATTCCTCTGTCTTATGTTGAACCACCTGGATGGAACTGCTCCTGACAGGAATAAGACAGGGTCTGTGCTGCAGACACATGATGTAGAATGAAGAAAAGGCAATCTGCCCCCCAGGTGTAGAAGTGAAATTTTTCAAAAAGGAGGAGGACCCAAATTCTTTGCCTATTTAGAAGATACTAGAAATGAAACGAGATGTAAAGAAATCAGGAAATGTTTACATGGATGTAGAATTTACTGTGTGAGATTGTGTTTTTAAAAATCTTTGAAAATTGATTGAAACTTGGTGATTATGCTTTTGCAGGTATACCCAGGAAAACGATGGAAAGGAAAAGGCACTTGAATTACTTCTGGATCAGTCCCTTGAAATCAGGCAAATTAAGCTTAAATTTATTTTTACATCTCTCTATATTCTTAATATCAGAGGCACAGTCTAAATATATTTAGACATCCAAATATATTTCTGCTTATATGTTGCTTTTAAATGTTTCTTTTTAAAAATTTGTTTTATTATTTATATTAATATTTAAATAAATCTATTCTTTAAGTATTTTTATCTTATGATGTTTTCTACCTTTATTTCACATTGTCAGTATAAAAAGTCCTGAATTTAGCATTGTTTGTTACTCTTCCTTTGAATTAACCTGAAACTAAAAATGTATTTTAAAAACTTGTGTTGCTTGAAATAACAGTCTCAACTATTATATGGTAGTTCATTGCTCTACAATTAAAGAATTATTAAAAAATGTTTGTTATGAACCTATAAAAGGTTTTCATTTTCATCTTTATTACTGCAAATAATCTTTCTACATACTGGAAGCCAGTATGTAAAATTTATTAACATAATCAGATTAAACTTCACCTAACGTCATAAAAATGGGGGACCCATTTTTCAGCATTCCCACCAAATATCTTACCTTTAATTTCTCATCTTCCTTTGATCATTTGCAGAGAGCACATATGAGTCTTGTATTAAATAGCCAAATGTTGGGCAAGAAGTTTCTCTGGAAGATGTTCTGTTTTCTGTTTGTGGTGTGACTTCAGAGCTAACGTGACTTCACCCTTTGTGAGCTCACTGGTTATGTTTTTCTCCAGTAAGTTTTTTTGTTTTCTTTAATATTTGCAGTAATACATTTACAAATGAGAAAATGAAAATAGAAGAGAGTATAAAGAAAGGGAAAGAGCATTATGAAGAGAGTCTTCAGAGGGCTGTGGATGCAGAGGTGAGTCCAGGGTACTCGGTGACTGACGGATACGGCAGGGTGTCATTTGTTTACTCTGCATTTAATTACACGAGGCAGGACAACATTGCTGGGAAGTGTGGAGGCTGAGGGGTGTCCTTTCAATCATAATCCTGCCTCCCTGAGACAACCACTCCCTCCTTGCCTATAACTTTTAAATTTTTTAGCTTTATGCTTATCTTACGATAGAGTGTACACCAGGTTTTGTGACCAGCTTTCCTTGTTTAACACAATTCAGTCATTTTCAGTGCTCTGTACTTTCAGTGGCTTCATCATATTTAATCAAGTGATGTACCATGAAGCAGTCAACCATAAAACCTATTTGCCAGTGCTGGAAAAGGAACTTGAAAATAATATACTTATTAAGACTATATAATCTCTTTCCCCCCTCTAGAAGAATATATACTAAAGTCAGTATACAATTTGAAAAACTACTGAGACAAAAATAATTATCTCTGGCTATATTCTATTGAATTCCTGAAACATGGTTGTCTTTGTTTCTCTAATTTGCAAAGTAAATGTTATTTATTAGTAAATGTGTCTATAATTATTTTAGAAACATAAGGAAGAGCTTAGCTTATGCAGTCTGTAAACATGGGTCTTTAAAAGAAATGTCAGCCATGCAGCTGCTTTTCTAAAGGAAGGAAGGAAAAAAGAGTCCCAGTGTTTACTTCTGCTTTGTGGACCCTTTTCCTGCATCTCTGTCCCCAAGTCATTCAGTTCCCATTTTCTACCATTTAGCAAGCAGTTTTGCCTCGTGGGCCCTGGCAAGATTACTGACACCTGAGTTAAAGCAAGGCCAGTCTGCATTTATGCAGTGACTTTCACACAGATGGCCAGTGGCTCATGTGGGGAGCCAGACTCTAATGTTCTCAGCACTTAGCCGTGCTGATCATAACTTTCCCTGAGCTGTGCAGTAGCACCTGTTATGTGCTGGTCCTCTGTGTGACAGTCTGCATCTGCTGGTCCCAGACTCCCACTCGGCAACCACGACTCTGCTCCCCAGGCCTGTCAGTTCCATAGGTGCGGCCTTGACGCTATTCGGCAGGGTCCTGGCCTCTGCTTGCCATGGTCAGGACCTTAGGTTATGCACGCCAGGTAATACTTTCAGGTAACCTAGCTCTGTGCTCCTGTATGGCTTGAGCAGTAAGCCTTGTGGAAAGTTTCATATCTAAGAAAGTATCACTCTAGGAATATAATTTTACTGTTACTTTATTATTCTGTTTTCAAATCCTGAAGTGTTTTAGATTAATTAATTTGGGGCTGTGCCGAGACTTACTTGCTGCATATGGGCTTTCTCTAGCTGCAGCAAGCAGGGGTGTCTCTTGTCGGGGAACACAGGCTTTGCAAGTTCTGGTTTCAGGAGTTGCAGCACACAGGCGTAGCAGTTGTGGGGCACAGGCCCAGTTGCCCCAAGGCATGTGGAACCTTCACAGAACCCACGGATCAGACCTGTGTCCCCGGCATTGACCAGTGGACCACCAGAGAAGTCTGAAAAGTTTTAGTTCAGATTCACTTGAGAGAAATGATAATTGAATTCTGGTCATTCTGCTGATCACATGTCATTTAAGGAGAAACTTGAAAGGGATTTAGAATGTTTGCTTTCACAGCTTGAAAATAGTTTTAGTTTTAAAATGCTTACATTCTCTTATCTAATGGTAGGTATCTGTGCTTGAAAACTGGAGGGACATGGAAGTGTGTAAGTTACAGACTGTGGAGTCACAAGCTGAAGGGTTTCTCAAGAACCTGAAGCTAATGAGCAGGTACTGTGGTGTCATAGGTGTCTTTCCACAATTGTCATTGAGGAAATAAAGATTAGGGCTGATTTGAGGAAAAATTATATTCAGTTCACTTCAGTCACTCAGTCGTGTCCAACTCTTTGTGACCCCATGAACTGCACCACGCCAGGCCTCCCTGTCCATCACCAACTCCCGGAGTCTACTCAAACTCATGTCCATTGAGTGGGTGATGCCATCCAACCATCTCATCCTTTGCCGTCTCCTTCTCCTCCTCCCTTCAGTCTTTCCCAGCATCAGGGTCTTTTCAGATGAGTTAGTTCTTCGCATCAGGTGGCCAAAGTATTGGAGTTTCAGCTTCAATATCAGTCCTTCCAATGAATATTCAGGACTGATTTCCTTTAGGGTGCACTGGTTGGATCTCCTTACAGTCCAAGGGACTTTATTTTTAATAGTTATTATAATTAATGCATGTTCAGTCATGGGAAAATCAAAACATATCAACAAAATGATAAATTATCCTAATTCTAAATTGAGTTATAATTAGTTAATTTAGTTTTGGGTAAATCCATTAAGGTTTTGGGGAAAAAAAGAAAATTTACATACAGTTTTTCACTAAGTCATACATGGTGGTGGTTTAGTCACTAAGTCATGTCTGACACTCTGTGACCCCATGGTCTGGAAACCTACCAGGCTGCTCTGTCCAAGGGATTCTCCCAGCAAGAATACTGGAGTGAGTTGCCATTTCCTTCTCCAGGGGATCTTCCCAACCAAGGAATTGAACCTAGGTCTCCTGCATTGCAGGCAGATTCCTTACTGACTGAGCTAAAAGGGAAGCCCAAGTAGTACATAGGAAACTTCCTTTCATATCAGTGCTCGAATTGCTCCAGCCTCAGTTTAGGAGGTTGAGTGGTCGTCTAGTGTACAACCGTGTCATGGTTTTTTAAATACCACTGTAGTGGGAGAGCTTGGTTGTTTGCACATTTTGCTATTAAAAGCTGCACTGTGGCAGATATCCTTACAGCTAAATTATTAGTCATTTCCACACAATGAATAAATTCCTGGAATGAAGATCACATTTTTGAGGCTTTTCAGCAGTTGCCTTCTGTAAGAATAGTTACTTAACAGTCTTACTGGTAGAGTATGGGAAGGTTTCTTTCAAAGATATTTACTTATGGTCATTTTTTCAACCCTACATAATCTTTACCTGTTTTTGTTTGTTTTGCTTTCGTTTTGGAATAAGGTTTACCGTGGGAATCCAGAGAGTCTCCTTCAGTCTAGAATTTAGCACTTTTCTATATGGATTTTTGCACATTACTTTTCATCTGGTCCTTTTATTGTATTCCACACACAGGTTTTAACTTTAATTCCTAGTGCTTTTTGATTTAAATTTCAAACCCTCAGTGTTGAACCAGAGATTCTACAGGTCATGGAAAAACAGTTTTAATGTAGAGTTCTTTTTTTTTTCCTCCTTTTTTAATTTTTTTATTAGTTGGAGGCTAATTACTTTACAATATTGTAGTGGGTTTTGTCATACATTGACATGAATCAGCCATGGATTTACATGTGTTCCCCATCCCGATCCCCCCTCCCACCTCCCTCTCTGCCCGATCCCTCTGGGTCTTCCCAGTGCACCAGGTCCGAGCACTTGTCTCATGCATCCAACCTGGGTCCTTCTTTTTTTCAAGATTTAAGTTTTTTTCACATCAGAAAACCTTTCTGATTAAAGGTAAACTGGTATACTGATTTAGATTACAGGACTAATACAGCTGAGGTTGAGACCATGTGGTGTTGAATAAACAGTGTGCAGCACGCCAAGGGCTCCAGATTGTGGTGCATCTGGGAAACAGAGATATCTCAGACCTCACTATCTAATAGCATTAACTCGTTAGTAAGCCTCGTAGTACACAGGTAGTCTTTCTTAGGGAATCTATGCTAACTCTGCTCATTCCAGCAAAGGGTGGCAAAAGAGGAAAGCCATGAAAGCGACATTCTGGTTTTTCTTTAAGATGGATTGGTGGTGGATTGGTGGTGGTGCTGATATTCTCAATTTGGGGTAGAAAGCTTCTCTGTCACTTTCAGTAGACCAGATTCATGAGGTGCTGAGAAGTTTAATGTAGCCTGTTAGACCACACCCTTTGTTTTGCAATGAAGTAGGGATGAAGGTTTTATTGGATGTATCCAGGCTGCCAACTTTTGGTTTGTTTTTCAATGCAAAGATAGCCTTTGATGTTAAATATGAAGATGTCAACTGACAAGTTGTCTAATCTTCAAATTTGAGGAGAGAAGTTAAAATTAAGGAGAATATGTGCTCTCTGTCCACCAGTTTTGGGCTTTGGGTTAGATCAGTCGATAATATTTCCTAAAGTGTAGTGACTTTGTAAGATACTCAGTTCTTTAAAAATCGTCTTTTTGTGTGTGTGTGTGCATAATTATATTTCTCGCATTATCTTTAAATGTTTATTTTCATTTGTACTTTAGTGCTTTCAATTTTTAAAAGTTTTCAAGTGGACATCAGCATTTTTATGTTTTTCTCCTCTCTCAGTGATTCAGCAGCGTATCCTGACATGGACTCAGACATACATTCATGGGGATCATTTCTTTCTGATGTTAGAGAAGAAATTGAGAAAGCAAAGGTAAGTTATATGGTATTTTATCATTCTATCAAAATCTGTCTGATGGTTATTCTAAAACATGTAGTGTCATACTAAAACTTTCTATTTAGGGCTGTTAAAGACTACATTTTTTTGTTGTAATTAAGAATTTTTCATGAAAGAAATATCTTCTTAACTGTCTTAAACTCAGTCCTTGATTGATAAGATAGCAAAGTTAAGTTTGATAAGGGTTAGAGCATTCTAATTAATAATTAAATTAATATTAGAGTTAATTAGAATTAATAGTTCTAGTTATCTTGAACTTCTTTCCTTGCAAGAAGTAACCTTGCATCTCAGTTATGTTTCTTGGGAAATGGTTGAGCATTTGTTATGTATGTATAGTAAGGGGGAAAATAGCATTAATGGACAGTTGTGGTTTTCTTTGGAATTTGTTAGAAAAACTTAACATTTTCCTTTCTACCTACAGTCTCAGTTTGAAGAACAAATTCAGGCAATTAAAAATGGTTCTCAGCTCAGTGAACTTCCAAAAGTGCAGATTTCTGAGCTTTCCTTTCGTGCCTATAACACAGTGAGTCTGTTATATCTCTTTTTTTCTTTTTTGAAGGAAACAGAACCAAAAAGGAGTGAGGCACAATTTCTTTCTTAACTGGCCAAAAGTAGTTTGTTACTGTTTTGGGAGTGGGCGTGAGCTGGGTTAATAATTATCTTACTGTTTTCATCAGGTGCTAGGTGAAGGCCTCATCAGAGTGGCCCTCGTTCACCCCTCACCCCGTGACCCTTCTGTCTATGCATTCAGCCTCAACTAAGGTAGTAGGCTCTGGAGCTGCAGTCAGAAGCTGATCTTGAAAGTGTTTCTCTTCTCAATACTATGCACTCTTAATATTCAAATTTACTGTGGATTCATCTGCAAAAATAAAAATTAAAAGATTTAAAACGTTAAAAAGGTTAGCCACCTTGAACTGAGTAGAATGTTCTTGAACTGAGTAAAATATTCTATTGAGCACCAGTGTTTTCAACTTCTTACAGCAGATACAGAGGGGGAAAAGCATTAGATCTCAGTAGAATGTTTTACTGTTAATGTTTAATTCTAGTTTATGTGGTTTTATAAATGCTCAAAGGAACTTTAAACTTCGAAAACCTTGGGAACTCTCTGTGCCAGGGGCTTGAATAACAAGAACCTAGAAACGGTTTACCTTGTGTCACTTCTCTGCTGTTCTTGCATCGGGTGTTTAGTGGTGATCAGGATTAGATGCGGTCTGTGCCCTCAGGATGCACATGGGTTTGGGAGCAACTTCAAGCCCATGATTATAAGCAAAGTGCGCCAAGAGCATAGAATGCCATGGCAGCAGAAATCAGGGGGAACTAACTTAACCCCAAGGCCTCGGTCTCGACAGAAGCTCCCTTGCTGGAGGTCTCAGTGAGCCAGAGATCTGAAATAGGAGTTCACCAGGCAGAAGGAGTGTGTGTGTGTATGAGGAGGGCTGTGTGGTGTGATGTTTCAGGGTCAAAACATTCAGATGGAGGAAACAGCGTATTTGGAGACTAGAAAAAGAACACCTTTCACAGCGGTGAAAGAAGTTTGCTAGGACAGAGGGGACTGTAGGGAAAAGCTTGTGATACCCTACCCCCGGGCCAGAACAAAGGGAGCCTTATTCCGTTAGGTGTCTCCGCAGTGTGGACTTCCCCTCGGGTCCCTGAGCAGCCAGTGTAGGTCTCCAGTTAGGAAATGATGTCAGCCTGACTGCAGTGTGGAGGCCTGGTGGGAGAGGGGCCTGGGTGAGAGATGTGCAGCGGATCGGGTGCAGCTCGCTGTCCCCGCCAGGCCCCGATGAGAGAGGCCGCGGGCTGGAGGGAGGGGAGCGGTTTCCAGTGTTCAGGTGGTCAGCTGCAAGCGGTGCTGCCTGTGCAGTCAGGGCTCAGCGTGAATGTGTCGGGGAGTGGACCACAAATTCAAGTCTGTGTCAGGTGGCACCAGAGGAGGAGCAGGTGAGGAAGCCTGCCCGGCGGCTGCGTTTGCACACACAGAGTTTGAGTGCCCTTGGAATCACCCGGGGGAGCTGCCTGTTAGGAGGTTAGGATCTCGGGATGGTATTCTAGACTGGAATCGTTTAAAAAGGGGGCATTATTCGCAACAAGCGCTCAGTCACGGAGGCATGAGAGGGTGTAGCCTGGGGTGCAGACTCTGGCTCTGACACCATGAGGAGCCTCAGCCCTTCAGCGTGGACTACAGAGCTTCGGGCAGGGCCCAGCAGTGTGAAGCCCTGAACAGCTGGTTTTGAGAGAGAGTTACCAGTGACTTTTAAGGACAGTAATATTTAATTTGTTATAGTTCAAGTTCTGTGCACTTGAGCAAGCAGGATTCATTATAGTTGTGCTTAATTGTTAGTCTTTGTCCATGGATCTAACTCTTAGTGATCAGCTTTTGTGGTGTGTTCCTCTCAGATTCATCCTAAATTACTTCCTGAGTCCTTAGGCCAGGATGGTCAAGGTCCCTCCACTTCTACAAGTCATGGGACCAGAGACCAGACAGCAGCTCCCGAGGAGTTAAGTCTGGGCTCTGCTGCTGACACCCCAGTGGGGTCGCCCTCCTGCGACCAGAAGGCCACCCAGCTGCCAGGGCGTGAGGGCGCTGGCCAGGCAGCTGGGCCAGAACCACGCCTGATGGCTGATGAGAAGTTACCTGCTGCTCCAGAGCATGCCACCCGTTCAAGCCAGTCCCCGAAGCGGCCGTTCAACAGCATCATTGAGCACCTGTTGGTGGTGTTCCCATGCTACAGCAGGTACGGGTCTAAAATGTCAGCAGCGCTGGGAAATGCTTTGTTGAAGTGATGTTTCCCGATCGGATAACAGCTCGGCCAATTAGGAGCTGAAGTGGAAAGGACTGTGCAATTATTTTACTCAAAAGGACAAACACTGCATTTGTCTTCTTTTTGTAAACATAAAAGTGAGCATTTTCAAACAGATTAGTCCATACTCATCAGAATGCATGGCAGTTTGCTAAGATTTTGATGAACTCAGTAACATGCTCCAGTACTAGTTATGGAATCAATAAATGAACTTCGGAACATTAGTTTTGTATCATTTCAGGGGGGAAAACATCTCACATATATATCAAAGAAGGCAGCAGCAGCTCACACTTTGTGGAACAGCCCCTCCGCTTTGTCAGAGGTGTGAGCTGAAGAGACTGAGTAAGGTGTGTGGGCGTGTTGTAGAGGGAGGGGCAGGGAGAGCTGACGTACAGTGCTTGTCAGTATCTGCTGTGAGCAAAGTGGATCAGCCTTTCACACACGTACACCCACTCTTGTACCCCATCTTGCAGATGGTTCTCCCCGTAGGTCATTTCAGAGTATTGAGTAGTGCTCCCTGAGCCGTGTAGTTACCTGCTTTATGTATAATAAATAATAACATATAGTAGTGTGTCTATGTCCATCCTAATGGCCCAATTTATCCGTCCCCCTTCACCCCCCCCCCCCCGCAGGTAACCATCAATTTTTACCATCTGTGACTCTTTCTGTTTTGTAAGTTCATTTGTACCATTTTTTTTAGTTTCTGCATGTAAGCAATGTCATATGACGTTTGTCTTTCTCTGGCTGACATCACTCAGTAGGACAGCCTCGAGGTCCGTCCATGTTGCTGCAGATGGGGAGAGCTGCTTTTAACTAAGTCAGCCAGAGTCATCAATTGGGCACTTCAGTTGTGCTCCTGCATCGACCTCTGACCTCTCTCTCCAGATGGGTCCAACCGAGGGGGCAGAGGGACTCCTTGTCTCAGGCCACAGGGAAGGTGAAGTGGAGGGAATGTCTCCCTCCAGCGCAGAAGAGAGGACTCCACATCCAGGAATGATCCTCCGCACCTCCAGTGTTACTTCTGCCTTTGACACAGTATTAGTCTCTGGGATGAACTTCTGAAACACAGTGGTTAATTATGATTGGCCAGAATTAATGTTTTGCATTTGTCAGTGGAGCCCTGGCCATTTGGAAGTAAGTGTATCTTCTCTGCACATGGACACATTTTGCCTAAGTTTGAGAAGCACTGTTAAGTTCTCTCAATTGCAGTTGCCATGCTAATTAGTAAAAAGTCAAGTTGTAATTACCAGAAGTACCTTACAAATAAAATTGTTTGCAGTCCTGTCTAAATTTGGCAGAGTAAACATATGCCTCTTAGGTTTTCTGCAAGTTAAAGCATATGAGGTATTAGTGCTGTAGATACCAAGTTCCTGTTGATTAATGATACTGTCACATCTACTGCTACCTATGAAAAATGCAGGAAAACTTTGTCGGTTAGATTTTTAAAGGGAGGAGGTAAAAAAATAGTTTGTTCTTAGAGATTTTATTGATTTCAAGTCATATCCAGTGGTGTCTGACCATTCAGTGGTTTTGCTTAAGGCTACACTGTGTCCAGGCTCTGAAGAAGGCAGGTTTCTAAGTAAGGAAGGAGATCTGAAATGGATCTGTCAGGTACACTCTTACTTTGAGAACTATTAAAATAAATATTTTAGGAACAATACTGAAATTTTCACAGTGCTTTTTTTTTTGGAAGAGTGACTTTGCTGCTTTTACATACTGTTGTGTATAAATGAATTGTGTATTTAATTTCGTTTCTTTTCAGCTGCTGGGTTGGTTCTGGACATGATATTTCTTCACAGTAGGAAACTCTGAGTTTGTCTTGACTTCCCCACTTTCCCTTTCAGCACGGAGCTTGCTGGTTTTATTAAAAAAGTTAGAAACAAAAACAAGACCTCTCTGTCTGGATTGAGTATTGACGAGATTGTGCACAGAGTGACAGACTACATCCTTGATGAAGAGAAAAAGAGAAAGGTCAGTGTTTCATTTAAATTCAATATATACTCCACTTTCTTCCTACTTATTTATAAAATATGAGAATTGTGGGAAAAAATGCTTCCAGCAAATGATGGGGAGCAATGTAGTAGACAGTGCTCACAGTTTTGGGTAACTGAACTTGCTTCCCTACTATACATTCTGGCTGCAGCCAAATCCGGGAAAGGACCGGAGGCCATCTGCGCCCAGCTCTGCTGTTCCTGCGCCCAGGGCCGCCCAGGACCCGCCCTCTGTGCCGGTCAGAGCACTACCCGAAACTGAGGGGCCGCAGACCAAGGACGTCCCTGTGAGTGCTGTGTGCATGACTGTGGGGTTCCCTCTGTTCTGACGAAGAACGGGAAGAAAGCAGCTGTTAGTCCATGATGTACCCTTATCGTTTTCATTTCTCGGTGGACTTTCTTTGAGCTTTGATTAGAAGCCACGTTTAGGTGACGTGAGTGTTTGATTAGAGGAGCCGGTGACTAGCGAGTTTCTCCGCACCGTTGTGGGGAGTTCAGGGCCCCTGCATGCAGGGACAAGAGGCGCAGTGGCCCCACCATGGACACGGGGCCTGTAGACAGTCAGATGCGTTCCTCACATCAAGTGTGAATAGTTGGCAGAATTTATTTTTAGCCAGTTTTCTTCTGTGCGACCATAGGCTTTAAAATCACACAAACTTGGTCTCATCACCAATAATACTGTGAGCTTGGATCATATCTGCTTGTTGGGGTTGTTGTCTGGACGAAGTGCTGTGGTGGGGTTAGCAGAGTCAGACGCTGTTCTCAGAACAGACTGGCTGCTTCCCTCCCCTTCCCCTCAGGTGCCTGGGGACGGGGGGACATGCTGAAATGGGCTGAGGTTGCTTTTATTTGATATACTGATTTAAATTGTTTATTGTCCTTTTAAACAATGAGAATGTTAGTTACATAGAACTTTCTGTAAAACACTATTGTATCTGTGATCTCAGTTGATACGGTATTGTAACTGTCTTTATGAATGAGGAAACCAAGGCACCAATGACTCATGCTTCTGGCCGGCGTTCCTTCCTTTGATTTGCGTTTGCGGCGTGTAATTCCCTGTCCTCACCCACACGGACTTCACACGCTGGGGACTGTGCAGTAGGCACTGAACATGTGGTTGATAGGGAGGCGGTCCCCTGGGTGGCTCCCAGCTGTGGGCTCCTGGTGGAATTCTGGCGTAGATCCCGTCTTCCCCTCCTGTCCAACTTCAGGTGAAAGTAAAATGAGAGCTGCAGGCAGAGTGGAGTCAGCAGTGCTGGACTGCACAGAGAGCGCTGGTTCGCTGACCTGACCTAGGCCCTGCCTCCTGTGAACCTTTTTTTGTCCCTCCCATACATTTTCATTTTCCACACAAATCCACTAGATTTTCCTCGTCACATACACTTGGATGCCAGAGGGTACCCACCCCACTGAGAAAGCTTGTATCGTGCAGAGCATTCCTGCCAAGCCTGGCAGGAGTCCACTCTCTCTCAGGGGTGTTCCAGCTGGTCATGTGCTCTGTGGTCCAACAATCAGACCATCTTCTTAGCATTCTCACTGATTTGTGTGTGTGTGTGCACACGCACACACTCACACACTTATTGGCCACCCCGGGATAGACCATGATCACCTTTTGAGGTGAGATTACTTTCTGCTTCATGGTTCATGGTAATAAAGATGTGAAAGCTGACTTGTAAGAAAAATATGTATTGAAACCAGGACTTAATTTGCTAATCATAGGGTTGTTTTTGTTTTTGTTTTTGTTTTAAGTAACAGTGTTTTGTATTTTTAACCACAAAAGTAATGTGGTTCTTAGTAGAAGGTCCAAATAAAAAGAACATACAAAGAACCCCAAAACCCACCCTCTAAGGGTAACCAGTATTATATTGGTATGCGTTTTTTCTGAACTCTTTTGTATCTGTGTGTATATGTGAATTTGGCTTTTCTGGTGGCTCAGACGGTAAAAGCGTCTGCCTACAATGCGGGAGACCTGGGTTTGATCCCTGGGTCAGGAAGATCCCCTGGAGAAGGAAATGGCAACCACTCTAGTACTCTTGCCTGGGAAATCCCATGGATGGAGGAGCCTGGTAGACTACAGTCCATGCGGTCGCAAAGAGTCGGACATGACTGAGCAACTTCACTACTACTATATACATATATGTGTTCTTTTTACTTTTTCTCTTAGAAATACATTGTGCCGAATTTGTCATGTTGGGAAGTAATAACTGTGTTTTTCTAAACTTCGTGCTGTGCTGTGCTTAGTCGCTCAGTCGTGTCCGACTCCCTGTGACCCCATGGACTGCAGCTCCCCAGGCTCCTCTGTCCATAGGGGAGTCTCCAGGCAAGAATACTGGAGTGGGTTGCCATGCCCTTCTCCAGGGGATCTTCCTAACCCAAGGATTGAACACAAACCTCCTGCATTGCAGGTGGATTCTTACCGACCGAGCCACCTTGCAGAGGCCTTGACCTGCCATTTCTCACAGAGCTGTTGCCTCCAATTCTCCCAGACCCTTCCCTGGGGGCCACAGAGGGGAGGGGAGGGGAGCGAGATCGCGTCTGTCCCACTGCTGCCTGGTGCCCGGTGGTGGCTGCAGTGTCCTGAGAGGGACAGAAAACCCTGTTCAGTAGATTCACAGCCTTCAGGCACTGCCCCGACCCTACTCCCTGACCGTCACCCGCTGCCGGGGCTGCATTCACTCACTTCCTGACAGTTCCCGGAGCCTCCCTTTGGGGCCAGGTTCGTCGCTGGCTGCTAAGAGCACACGGAAGCAAAGCCATTTCCTGCCTTCAGGGTGCTCAGAGTTAGAGGGGGGAATGAGAGTCGAGTAGGCCACGGCAGGGGCGGATGCTGGGGGCTGCAGGGAGCCGTGGTGCCCAGGGTCCTGGGCGGCACCCGGCTCCGCTTCCACAGGAGGGTGCCATGTCCCCCAGACTGTGAGTGGGCCCGGGAGCCCTCCCACTTGCCTGTGTCCCCGCGCCCGCACAGTCCCTGACAGGGATGTTGCTGAATGAGCCATCAGTTTAATTTATGCAAGGAATCCACATTCATAGAAATATTTAGAAAAATAGCAAAGAAAAAGTTAAATCTCTCAACCCAAAGTAGCCAGTCACCATCATTAGCATTTTATATCTTCCCAGATTCTTTTCTAGGCATCTCTGTATACAGACATTCTCTCTTTGTTTAAAACCTTAAATTATATAATCATGTGATACCTACTGTTTTCTAGTCTACTTTTATTCAGAGAGCTTTTGGTACCAGCTTTCTGTACCAAGGATTATGGAATTCCTTCAGGATTTTAATCAGCCCCACCATAATCCATAGTGTAGAGGTGTCATAATTTGTTACTGTGTCCAGCTGTTAATTAAATGAAGAGTTAATTTGTAATATGCAGCTAGTGCCATACTTTAAGTATGGGATGGGATAAATAGATATTTGTAGTATTTTAACTGAAAGTGAGTTAACTGTATAAATCATGTTTGTTTGTTTTTTTTAAATCACGTTTTTTATCTGAGAAAATCAAAACTTTGTTTTTTCCTAAGAAATGTTATTCAAAAATAAGTTATTCCCTCAATCTGCTTAACTATGATTGAGAATAATCTGCACCTTGTGCTGCAAACATTTTGGAAAGCCAGTTGTAGGAAGAGTTCTTTATTTCTGGGATACATTTGTTTCCACAGGCGTCCTGTGCAAATTCCTGCGAAATCTGCCGAGAAGTATTCAAGTCCAAAAATGTGCGTGAGCTGCAGTGTGGGCACAGGTTTCACAAAGGGGTAAGAGTTCTCTGTGGCTGTTTTCATGTCACGCGTTCTGACTGTGGAGCATTTAGAAAAGAGAAAGGGACTTTTCCCCCCAGGCTTCAGCCCTTGCCTTTTCCAAGCAAATCCCAAACGTGCTCGTATTGGTGGTCTCCCTCCCAGAGACTGTGCTGTGGGGAGGGGAGTGGCCTCCGGCCTCTGGTGCACTCTGCACGGTCCTCTTCGTGTCGGGTGGAGAGGAGCACTTGGCTCTATCAGTTGCTAAAATTCAAAGACTGTGATTTCTTTAAAAGCTCTGCTTCTCAAGCAGATAGATGGTGAAATAGCTTTGTCGGTTTAGTGCAGTGTGTGAAGTAAGTTTAACATGTAACATTTTTAGAGAAGAGAAAGGAAGCCTGACGGGCTCCGCTGTGCCTGGGGAACTCTGGCTGTGCCCTCCTGAGATGGGTGTTAGCTGTTCTGGGGTTTGGGTGCTGTGAGCACTCAACCTGCACCCCTGCTGCTGGATGAGAGCCGGTCCTGTCTCTGCTCTGTGAGTGTGTGAATCCCTGAGAGAAGGGGCACACGCTCTGTGTGTGCATGTGCGTGTGCATGCGTGCACTCAGTCGTGCCTGCCTCCTTATGACCCCATGGGCTGTAGCCCACCAGGCTCCTCTGTCCATGAATTCTTCAGGCCAGAATACTGGAGGGGGTTGCTATGCCCTGCTCCAGGGGATCTTCTCGACCCACGTCTCTTGAGTCTCCTGCAGTGGCAGGCAGGTTCTTTACCACTTGTGCCACCAAAGAGTCCAGACAGACTGCAGTCTCTCATGTGACCTTCCTGGGCTGTGAACTTACCACACGCTCAGCTCCCTAGCGGCAGCAGGCGAGCCAGGAGCAGCTTGGGAGCACGCTGTGTAGACAGGCTCCAGTGAGGCTGTGTGTGTGCAGACTGGGGAGGGACAAGGAACAAGACGGGGCCGATGGGAGGAGTCCAAGGGCCCAGAAAGAGTCAGCCTCCAGCAGTCAGGGCAGCTGAAGCACAGACTGGACTGGAGCAGAGCGGGAAGGGGAGGCGCAGTCAGGCCCCGAGTCTTCATGGTCACATTCTGAGGTGCGATTCCTTGTTCCTGGGGCTTGGTCCAGACCTCTGCCCTGAGCAGGCTCTGTGTCCTTGAGTGTTGAGTGGCCCAAGGTCCCCTTGGACGTCACGGGTGATAGCTTACAGTGAACAGGGTTGGATTCGTGACCTCCGGAGGAGAGAATTTCGCTTCCAGGCCAGAGACGAGGCTGATCACTCAGAGCTTTTGTGTAGCAGAGTTTTATTACAGTGAAAAGGGACACAGAAAGCTTCTGACGTAGACCTCAGAAGGGGCAGAGTGCCCCACTCATCAGTCTTAGCAAGGCCTTATATATTTTGTCAGTTGGTTACTAATAGTAGAAAGGTCTTACCAGACCCACTCCCACAGCATACCTCTTAAGATAACAAGTTTAGTCAGAAGGTTCTTGTTAAGAAAGAGAAACATGTCTTCAAACAAGATAGTGTTGTTACATAATCATTAGTACAGAGCTTAAGGAAAAACAAAGGGCTTCCCTGATAGCTCAGTTGGTAAAGAATCTGCCTGTAATGCAGGAGATTGCAGTTTGATTCCTGGGTCGGGAAGATCCACTGGAGAAGGGGTAGGCTACCCACTCCAGTATTCTGGGCTTCCCTGGTGGCTCAGCTGGTAAAGAATCCTCCTGCAATGCGGGAGATCTGGGTTCGATCCTGGATTGGGAAGATCCCCTGGAGACGGGAAAGACTACCCACTCCAGTACTCTGGCCTGGAGAATTCCATGGACCATATAGTCCATGGGGTTGCAAAGAGTCGGACACAACAGCAACTTTCACTCTCACTTTTAAGGAAAAACATACCCTGAGCAAGATGACTTGTTTTGTTATGTAATCATTAGCTCTGGGCTTAAAAAACATCTTATAAGATGAAGGAATGTAAACAAAAAACACTCTCCCTTTCTCCTCCTCGAGGGCCCCAGACTCCTTAACCTGCCTAAGAGAGTCACTCTCACAGTGAAGTTGCCGTCTGTGCCGAGGCGAGTGGCGCAGGAGAGCTGAGGCCCCCAAGCTCCCAGAGGGCCGGCTGATTGTCTTCTCTGATTTCAGTGCCTCAAGCAGCGGCTGAAGAGCCAGCGCACCTGCCCAGCCTGCCTGGGTCACACCCTCCTGGCAGAGGAGTAGCTGCCCTGCTGGAGGAGGCCTGCCTGCTGCTCTCGGCCGCTACAGTTCACGCTGCAGATACGCTGCTTGTTGAGTTGGAAGACTAGCAGTGTGCTCCCTTTGGTATCAAAAGCAGACGCCTGAAGCTTCTTTGCACTGTGTGTTGCAGTGTTAATAAACGGAGCTCTTTAATACAGCTGAGAGTAAGTAATTTCCCAGCTCTGACTAGACATAGAGTAATCACCAAGTGGTGGCTGATAAAATCACATGTAACCGCTTCCTTCTGTGGTCAGGGATGCTGCAGAGGCGTGCTCTGAGATGGAAGGAAAAGACGGTGAGCGCCTCAAAGCAGGACTCGATTATCAGCATCCTTGGCCTGCTCAAGTGCCCACAGGAAAAGAGTTTTGAGATCAGTATTCCCGAACTTAGCCTACCTTTTTCCTCAAAGGTTCTGCGTTTTAAAAAAAGAGCTTAAGCAGACCACATTTTAATAGGTTGTAATGTTAATATTGGCTGATTTCAGACCAGAAGATTCAACTCTCCTCTTTATGTGGTTTCTCATTACATTGTTTTCTCCCCAGTAGGTTTGTAAGTGCTCGTTTTCTGTCTTTTAAGGACGTAATGATTTTTGAAAATCAGTTACAAGACCCTCACTAGCATCAGCCAAGACTTCTTAACCCCTGAAGTCGAGGCTCGCTCGTCATCACCCCACCCCCGGGTCTGGAGCAGACTCTCTTTGAATACCTTACTGTTCTCGTTAGTGACCTTTGTCGCCCTCTCTTGAGTTAGACAGCAAGCGTTGGGGTATCTCTGTCTGGCATACAGCGGCAGCTGAGGGAAACAGTCACATCATTCCCTTTCCTTACCCCACCACCAAAAAGAGACACTTGTATAATAGACAGTCCTGAGATGTTGCTGTTACAGTCGTTCCTGTTTGACGTTTGTGTAGAGTAATGCATGCACTCGTGTACTGTAGCCTGAGAACAAAACCGCAGCTGCTTTAGAGAAACTGCTTATCTTCAGTGACTTATAGACAGCAGTAGACATAGAACCGTGAATTCTGGGCACATTCCGTCTCTCTCAAACCGGAAGGATCAAAAAGTGTTTTCTGTTTCCCTCAGAAGCTCAAGTCCCAGGTTCGCGCGCTGACGCAGTCGCCTCCGTCTGCTTTGCTTCTCTCTCAGTTTTGACGTCTTAGTGACTTGGTGCATTGACGCTCATTCCATATTTTGAAGCAGGTCCCTAAAACATTGTCTGCATGTTCAGAATAACTGAGGACTTGCAGATATGAAGGTACACAGGGACCCGTGTGTAGCAGCAGGCGCAGCGGGAAAGAACAGCTGGAGAGTGAGAGGATGTGTTGTGTATAACCTCAAACTGTTACTTGTGTACATGCCTTACACGTGTCCTGTGTTGAAATAAAGAACATTCTAAAATAATAGCCGTGTTATCCATTCTTTGTCTAATTTAAAGCATTCTACTTGAAAATTCAAGACGTATATTATGCTGCCAATTTAAAAGGTGATTCGTTTGGACAGAAGAGCCCTGTACGTTTGAGGAGTCTAACCAAGAGTTCCAAAGACATTTTCAAAACTGGATCAAAGCATCCTTTTGCTTAATTTTAAGGAGTGGTTGCTAAACTCAAGTTCACAAGATTGGCTGTTGAAATCTGTGAATGGAAAGACTAGACAGGATAGAGTTAACTTTTTTAGGCTAGAGTGAGAGGTTTTCAGGTGAATATGGATGAGAGTGTCCGAGTTAACCAGATGGCATCTCTCACTGTTGATCTTTGTGAGGCACTTGCAGAGGGCTAGCAGGCCGCCGGTTCACACCAAAATGACCCTGACACATGGCCCTGCCCCAGACCCCGTGGCGTGGGCCAGACACGCCCGCGGGTCATAAAATAGGTTAGACCAGATCTTAGGGACCTTTCGGTCCTTGTGGATACAGGGCTACTGAGGCTGGTGAGAAATGACTCCCTGATAGAGGACCTTATAGTATGCTGAGCACTAAGAGACGATCCAGGAAAGCCAGTGTTATCAGTCTCTTGTCTTCAATCTGATAGCATTTAATTTAGAATAGTCTATAACTTTAATCACTGACTATTCCTAAGAGTTTGGATTCTTTTCCCTGTTGAAAAGTTTATGCTATACATAAAGCATAATCCAATAGAAAATTGAAATGTTACCCTAGCATTGCAAAACATTACCACCTTTTAAAAATTTTATTTTAATTAGAAGATAATTATAATATTATGATGGTTCTTGCTATATGTTACTACATTTTTAAGGTAATTTCAAAGACTGTAGAAGCAGGTGGGCCAAGTGATCACAACACAAGACAGAAGCAGTGAAATAATTTTAGGTAGTTTTTCAGTCAGATGATGCTCTCTGGAGAAACAGATTAAACAGGTAAAAGAGATAATAGCAAAGGTGGAATTTCCTTTCATCATCATGTGAAGTACTTGCTGATGCGACTGATAAAAAGCAAAGACAGTAAAGCAGACGGGAACGCTTGTCAGAATGAGGACCAAAAACATCTCCAATGTAACCTTTCTTGAAAGAAACAGGAATCACTTTTCAGGCGTTTTAATTTTAATCAAACTTAATAAATGTTAATTATAAACCTTATTCAAAGAATAATTTTAAGAAGAATGCATCATCGTAGCTAATCCCCTTTTCCTCTTCACCCTGACGAGATCTGCTTAGAGGGCACGCCCACCTTCATATAGCCATATACCTTCAGTGCTATGCTGAGAAGGTAGGCACACCTGGATGCCGGTGAAAACAGATATGTACTGAGTACCTACTGCGTGCTAGGCCCTGGGCTCAGTATCCTGAACGGCAGTGAAGGAGGGACACGGACTCCACAAAACTCGTTTTCAGTTACAGACAGTAAACAAATTCAGAATGTAGCTTGGTGCCAAGGAGGACTTTAAAGAAGTATCAAGGAAGGTGTACAGATGAATAATAAAATCCTTATAAAGTGGTTAGCACAGTGCCTAGCACATGAACCTGTGACAAAGAGGATCTAGTAATTATTACTCCAGTCTGGGTTTGGAAGTTGGGCAGGGAGAGCACTTGGTGGTCTTGTGTAAGAAAAGTTTCATTAGATTTTGTTGTTCAGTTGCTAAGTCTTGTCTGTCTCTGCAACCCCATGGACTGCATGTAGCACACCAGGCTTCCCGGTCCCTCACTATCTCTCGGAGTTTACTCAGGCTCATGTCCATTGAGTCAGTGATGCCATCCAACCATCTCATCCTCTGTTGCCCTCTTCTCGTCCTGCCCTCAATCTTTCCCAGCATCAGGGTCTTTTCCAATGAGTCGGCTCTTTGTATCAAAGTATTGGAGTGGTGGCCAAAGTATTGGAGCTTCAGCATGTTCAAGGTTGCTTTTCATTAATTTAGGAAGCCAGGGTTGTATAACGTAGTCAAGTAGAAAAAAGGAGAAGAAATCCAATCACCTCAAAGTCATTTTGTAAAGTAACAACAGCTTTGTTCCTGAAATCTCCCCAAGTTGACTTTGGCTACATCATGATTCCATAGTGAAGGATGATCTCACCTATGGCTGTCCCATTACCTGGAAGAACAGTATTGAGGTAGCTTTTCTGTTCAGTTTGTTCAGAGCTCTGTGCCTGGCATGGCAGGGGTCTTGAGTTGGCATGGCATGGTAGAGACCTGGGCAGGTTCATCCCACTGGAGGAGGCATGTGACCCCAGCTCCCCTGTTTGTGGGGAGGACTGTTAGTGTCATCGCCCCCAGTTTATATTGTCTCTTCTGATTGGATGGCATCACTGACTGGATGGACGTGAGTTTGAGCAAGCTCCAGGAGTTGACGATGGACTGGGAAACCTGGCGTGCTGCAGTCCATGGGGTCACAGAGTTGGACATGACTGAGCAACTGAACTGATTTATCCTTTAAAGGAACAAGAATGACAAAATACTCAGCCGAAGTCTAGAAATTAAACAACACTAGTAAACTACAAAATCCTAATGAGACAAGCATCAGTAATCGGAAAAAAAAAGCTTTTGTCTACATTAAGAATACTAATTTTGGGTACACATACAGGAGAAAGTCAACCTTAACCTCACACCATACACATAGTTCCCAATAGATAGGTTCCAGTGGTCCTAAGTATGAATAGTGAAACAGTTTTTCTACAGAAAACAAATGTTGTCCTTAGCAAAGATTTACTAGGACCTAAGTGCTTGCCATGAAGATAAAGATCTGATAAATTGGGTATCATTATAATTAATGCCTCTTACCAAGTTAAGCTGTGAAATCAAGGAAGCTTGTAATACCTCCAACAAAGGCTCCAAGATGTATAAAAAATGTGTCATTAATGGAAAATATACGATATACTTAGAAATGAGCAAAAGATTTGAATAGGCTCTTCACAACTATCCAGTGGTTAATAAGCATTTTGGTAGTCAGATGTGTTCAGTTCCTGTCATCAGATACAAATTAAAACCAGTAACATCCTGCAGATACCCACCAGGATGGCTGAAAGTAAAAAAGAGCTAATCCCGTAGTGCCCAAGGACACAGTCCCCAAGCGCACACTCAACAGAAACGCGTGCTGTGGTGCAGGTGTCTCATACGGGCTTCCTGCACAGTGGCCTCAAACTGGAAACCACCCAGGCGTCCCTCAACATGAAAGGCACAGGTCATGGCCTCTTCACACAATGGGATAATTGTCAGCAACGAGATGAAGGGACTGCTGCTGCACACAACTACACAGGATTCTCACAGAGCCAAACCAAAGTAGCCCCACAAAATGGAGCTCCACTTCACGTGACTTCAGAGAACTGGAAGCTGGTGACAGAGGGCAGTTAGCTGGGAGGCGATGCTGCTGATGGGAAGGCTGGAAGGGCACTCTCACCTTCAACTGAGCTGTGCTTACGTGAATTTGTGGAGCTATATGTTAAAAAATAGCACTTTCCTGTTGTCGTTTTCAGTAAAACTAAACGTTTCAAAACAAAAACAAGACCATACGCCTGGCCCCTGGAGGCAGTGATAACTGTGGGCCCTGTGGTGCTCCTCGGGAAGCTGGCCTCCCCCTTCCCACGCGCAGCGGCCCCTCACAGCTATGAGACTCCACTCCTGCTGAGGCCTGGAGTGACCTGAAGCCCCACTGTGGAGCAGGTGCCCCCTCCTGGGGTTGCTGGTTCCCGCAGCCTGCCGGTGGGCACCTCGGCCTGCCAGTGGGCCTTTGGGAAGTCGCTCTGGAAGTCAGGGAGGAGGTGAGCCTGATGCCAACTGATTATTGCTGCTGAGTCAAGAGGAAGAAAGCCAGACCACACCTTACCAGGAAGGTAGTGCCAGCCGTCTTGGCGTTGCCTGGTACCAGCTGGGAGGACCATCCTCCTTGGCACGGGTGAGGTCTGAGGTGCTGGAGTCTGCTCCAACTGGCCCCAGTAACAGCCAGTTACTCACTTTTCAGCACTTCTGTGAGCTGGCTGTTAAACACAACTACTATTAAAGAGTTGAATTACATAAGCTTACAATGAAATTATATATTTTTTTAAAGAAGGCAATTCCTTCGTAATTACTGCAGTTTATTGCTTATGCTTTGCCAGTTACTGATGTATCCAGTGTCTGTAGGGTGGAAATACTGTGTAAGATTCTATGCCTCTCTTCCCAACTCTGTTCTGTGGTGTCACACGGATACCTTAGGATTTACATAGGTGTCATATAGGTGGCTTGAAACTGGCTATTGGCGGGAGTATTTACACCCAGAAATTGGCAAATGCTGCGTATAACTCCCCCACCCCCGCAGAGCATCTGTGAAGGAGCCTTGTTTTGGAGAAGCAGCCTGCCTACTGCACATTTCTCATCTCTCAGCTCCCGTGGTGAGCGGGGGACTTTAACCCGGAGCCCCTGAGGTGCTTTTGGCTGAACGAGCTGCTCCCCTCTGCCCTGTTTGCCGGGGGTCCTCCCGCAGTGCCGTGGGTGTGCGCTGCCCCTGCCCCCCAACCCCATCCCCGTGGGCTCCCCCCTCGCTGTCGTCCTGGAGAGAAGACGCAGGTCACTGTGGAGCCCCGGGCCTGCCGGGGCAGAGGCCCGGAGTCCAGCCCCGAGTCCGCCTCCCCCACAGCAGCTTTGCTCCCCCGTCCCCTTGCCCCGCCACGGCTCCTCTGCCGAAACCAGGAAGATCCCTTCTTGCTCTGGTGGGGGCCCTGCGGAGCATGCAGGTGAATGCAAAACCAGGTGTGCTTCGTGGGTAGCAAACGAGAGTCAACCTCGAGGACCAATGAGCCAGAGGCCACTGACGCAGCCTCCTTCCCCTTGAAATTGGGCCAGCCCTCCGCCTGGCCACGAGAGCCTTCACGGTTGAGCACTTGGTATTGATGACACAGGCCTCTGCGGCGGGACGTTTCAAAGAGAAAGTCCTCCTCTTCCCAACATGTATTTTTGTGTCAAACAGAGGTGTCATTGTTTTC